CATTAGTCAAACATAGTGCACATTTCTTCCACTGTGCGTTAAAATTAAATTTAATATCTACTAAAATCAACCCATATTGATTGATTTTCCCTGCTACATACCTACTGATGTTCAACGAAAGTTTTCTTCTTTTCTACTTTTCTTAGCCATGAATTCTCTGAAAAATACAATGCTCGTAATGCTTTATTTTTCTGATTGTGTTTCTGAATGCTTTAAAAAAGGTTTATGCACTCAAAATCTAGTGTGGAGGAATTAGTAAAAAACAAGTTTCATAAAATAAGCAATTTTTAACTTTTGACTGCAATAAAGAACCAACATATGTGCAACGCTTTTTCCTTAAGCTCAGTTATACCGGGTGTCGCCACTCCTCAAATGTATTTTGCTTCGAATCACTTCACTGGCATAATACCTCCTTTCATAACCATCCTCTATTCCAGAACTCCTAGCTAAACTCCTCGCGGAATTCCGCATTAATGCCTACCTGAAGAAAGAAAAATGACGAAGTAGTAATATGTAAATTCCAAGAGAATCCTAGATCTGATCTTCCTCGAGTATTTCTTGGCGCAAGTTGTTGACAGGAAAGGACAGGAAGAGATGGTAGAATAAGTAGGACGTTATTCTCTTTTACAATCTCCGCTCGGGTTTAGATAAGTAAATATCAGCTACAAAGGATTATCCAAACGGCTTTGTTCAAAGAAAAAGCAAGGCACCGATTTGAGATTGGATGCGCTTATTATAACTGTAAAAAGGAATGTGGGAGTATTATTGCTATCATTCTTGCGACAAATGCTTTAGTTTATAAGAGTGAAGTTCTACCCATAATAACATGAGTGCATGTGCGGGAATTCCTGCACTTCGAGGTTTCACATTCGTTGACTTTAGAGTTGGAAAATTAATGGGAAAAAATTCATGGCGATAAATGTGCGAATCCGAACTAACCAAATCCAACTCTGAGTGGGATTACTGCATTGTTTATAGAACAAGCTTTCATACTTCTCATTAGTCACTGATGACTAGGGAATTAATTGAATTCGCCTTCAATCACAGTTTCTAAACTCGGGAAACATTAAAAATTATGGTATTCAGATAGCTACTGGTGGCTTAATTTTGTGTCAACTATGCATAACTGAACGTAGGGTTCTTGCTTAGAATAGTTCATCTTACTATTAAGTGATTTCTAGCGTTTAGAAGGTTAGATTTTCCCAGTTAATTGTACTAGAAGTCATTCATAGTATCAGATGCACGAAAATGACATCTTTCAGCATTTTGCACTCCTAAAATTCCAAAATTGGTAATTTTCTACTTGACTTGATGAAGTTACTGGACGATATTGACTACGAAAATCAATTATTCCGCAGGGAGTGGCTATTTTGTAAGTCAAAAAATTATCCAAATTCTATTCTAGACATAACACTACTCCAGTATATTTCGTCGTCTACCTACACAGATTTGCAGAAGGGTGGTTGAAATGATATTTCACTAGATCCCTTCTCATGCAGATTTATGAATTGATCCTTTTATCATCTATCTATAACCCGATCCTATTCTGCCCAATAAATATGATTTCCGTAAGCTTGTAAATAACTTTATCAAAGAAAGCGGGGCCTTTGAGAGTAAAAAAAGCAAGAGATATAAGTAAGAGGAACCCTTTGGTGCACCTGCCGCACTTTTGATGAACGCTATCTTAACTACAATGATTTTGACAGGAAAACCAGGTATGCTTTTTCTTGTGAAGCGTAAACTGTACTTTTGAAAGGTGTACAACTCAAAAGCTCAAAATTTTGTACTCTCTTGATTTTGTTGAAGATCGCACGAACCCATCGGGCAACTTAGTAAGTAGTAATCCAAAGTTTACTTATCGGGTTACGTTAACTCTTGGCTATTGATTCTCGCAAACGCGTTAGGCTACAAATGTAAGTACTTCTTCATGGCGAACTTTCCAAATAGGCGCTTTTGTATAAGTCGGAAGTAGGAAGTATTTATGTTGAACCTCTTTTATCCTCTACTATACGGATAACCTCAACCTCAGCCCACCATAAAAATTCCGTTTTGAAAAGTTGCATTGACGCTGCTTTAGAATCTCATAGCGATCTTACAGATTACAATAGAAAAAGTGCGAAGCCTCAATCTCCTCTAGGCCTTGCCTTATAATCTCCTGACCGTTTCGTCATATTTTTGGATTAGTGGCAAGCATCAGATATGAATATAATAAATAGTAATTTTTTGAAATAGATGTTTGCTAAGTTCCTGTTTTTAGATAGATGTTTTATGGATGACCGAGCTAATCCGGAACTATTTAATGAGAAAAACTAACTAAGAAAGCTGTTTCAAAACTGTATAACTTAATTATTTCTAATCATCGTTAGTATAAATTGCAGCAATATCCGTTTTGTCTCATGACTGTATGGTTAGCAATAAAAGTAATTAATCTTAGTAAACTCTATATTTGTTTTTTTCCTATCAGTATTGCTGAAATCCTTTGTAAGTCTTTCTTATTATGATTAACTACATACCGCTCATAACTTCTGCCAAAAAGATGTGCTTTCACATAAAAATCCTCGCCAAGAGTCGCATCGTCATATTTTTTTTCATAGATTTTTTTCAAGGGAAAAACGTTTTTAGACTCGGCTTGTTTAGACTAATCTTAAATTGCACACGGAGTCGCGATATTGTCTTCCAACCGTGTCTGCCGTACATCTTAGATGTTACTGTAGCGTGCCATACCTTAGGTTTTGTCTGGACGATGAGTCTAACACCGCTTTTCCTTGTAAAGAAGAAAGAATTATGGAGGAAGTTATGACGATGCGAGTTTGTGACGTTTTATAGAAATCACCTTTTTTGCAGAAGTTATGAGCTATGTATACATTAGGTAACTTTTGTTCTAATATAGAGGTAGTTTTAATGATTTAAAAGTTTGATTCCACATATACGCACTTTGCTAGCATCAAGCATCCTGTCATCCAGAGTAGTATTATCTCTATTTTCTCAAGTGCTCAACAATGTGTTAATGAGACCAACACCTTCTCAATAAGTCTTTTTTCGTTGATTTTTTTTTGGTTATTGAACGATATTGTGATGGAGCGCATTAGGGAGATTGAATGATCTTATCAAAACTGCTGTTCAATGCACACTCTCTCAAAACCTGGTTTTGGCATTTCTGATTCCTACACCTGGG